GAACTTCTTAGCAACTCAAGGGGTTGGTCACTCTACACAGTGTGCCAAAATCAAACTTGGGCACCCCCGGGCGTCGTCATTGACGCTGTTTGGCACCCATGGTTACAATTTTTATGATCTTTAAAGTTACTGGCAACACTGAACTTTGTCAAAATTTGTTATTGATGTTGCCATAATATAATCAAATTATTTTCAAAACAACCGTGAATCTTCACCAAGTCTCGCCATGGATTCTCAAAATCGTTACACCCGTGACGGCAGTCGCATCCACATTTCCTCCCAGACGAAGAACAGATGACAGCGGTATCTTGACCTGACCGAGGTTTTTGGCCATGGCTACACGAACTAGCGATGCAGCTCTCACGGCTGCGGCTGCTTCCAATTCTGCTGCTGTTCTTACTTACTTACTATAATGAATTTTAGAGGAGACGGACCAGCAGAAGGAACAGCAGCAGCAGCAACTAAAGCAGAAGCAGTATAGGAAGCAGACGCAGCCGTGGGAGCTGAATCGCTAATTCGTGTAGCTGTGGCCGACGCTGGAAATCTCGGGCCGGTCACGACAAGCGGTGCTTGAGTTTTAATCGGAAAGTCAACCAAACAAAAACTATACCATCCGACCATTCGAACTGCTCGAATACATTCATCGCCACCGCTACTACACCACCAGCACTTCATGATGGCGTTCACCGCCAGGGCTACGCTCGGGAACTCGACCAATCCGGAGGAGGAAATTTCCGATATCAGCGGGAACATTCGCACTTGCGACGGGTGGCAGTCCTTGGGGGTGAATGCAGTCAGCAGCAGATCCTCGGACGGCATACGGGTGGGGTATTGAAGAAGTGGAGAATGTGATTTTTGCTGGCCTGGGAAGTGATTGTTTTTGGAGGCGTTGTAGACCTTGAAGCTGATCGAATTGTGCGGCAGGGTGTACGTTCGACTGGTTCGACTGCTATGGCGTTCCCATCTAGATCATGGCGGCACTCTCTTTGGTCTTCAGGAACTTTATTCTGACAAAATTTCCATACAGAAAGGACAGATTGAACAGCTTATCGGTGTTGGCTGTGTTGTTATCGAGACTGTAGACCATCATCACTGCGCCCTGTTGCTGTGCGGGTTGAATGAAGTTGACTGGTCCGTTTCGGGTCAGCGGTGCGTCCTTCATCAGTCCGACGTGTGTTCCAGCCGGTGTTGGTTTCCAGTTCTCCGACGGATGATACTCGGGCGGTGACAAATTCGGTGCAAATCCTCCGTCGGCTCCCAGAAGGACTGGTTGACTAATGATTGACGCTCGTTGTGCGGGGTCGGCCTACCGCCGAAGATGGATGTTTTTGAAAACATTGAAAATCAAAACAAAAACAAGAGCTGTTAAAATACCGGGTTGCCAAACAAGGCATTATTCACAAGCAAACAAAAGTCAGTTCAATTACTTCTTCTACTTCATGGCACTGCCGATACAGCTGCGGCACACTGAGGTACACTGAGATAAAATGTTGGCGCAAATTAAGTGTGTAGAGTGACCACCCCTTGAAGCAACTTTAAAGTATCTTAAAAGTTCCCTGCGAAACTTCTTTGCAACTTGAAAGTTTCTTAAAAGCTCCGTCATAGTCCATATGAAGCAATCCGCACAAGTATTTTTTTAGGAACAAAAATTAATGTCAGTAAATTTGAAATATTCAGTTGTTCAATTAAATCACAGTTCTTATATTTATGCAGAGCATCAATATTCTATCCAAACATTATAAAAACAACATTTAAGAGCAATTTCCTGGATTCGAACGCGTGCATTCGGCATGTAATCTACGAATGCTAACCACTGCGCCACAAGTGTGTGGGCCATCACCAATTTAAAATTCATCAAGGTTTTGTATTTCGTATTAAAGTCAGTCAGCTGGCACTGAAAACTCCAACAGTAGGCGGGACAACAGCTCACTTTAATAAATCTCAGATGGCGTACCCGAGCAAAGTCGGTTAACAAAATGAAAGCAAATCGATATTAAAGATTGCAGTTCCTATCATAATGAATACTCATTTTGATTACAATTGTCACGACATTAGTCTGATATCATATTGTGCTTTCATTATGCAGTCAAGACATTTTAAATGAAAGCAACTTAACTTGAAGTTCTGCTGTTAACGTCTTGTTTAAAATTTAAGTTAAGCTTATCTGTCGTTGAACTAACGATTATTGTTTAATTGTTTTGTTTAACACATTTTAGGTCATTCGTAACCAACCCGAGGTGACATTTGAGCTCAAGTCTTTCAGCGTGAGAAGCTTGGATGCTAACCATTTACACCAGGCCCGTATTCAGTCAAACATTATGAATGCAAAATCAGTAATCAAATTGATTTCATTGAAAGCAGGATTAGTTTTCCGTTTGATTCAACAGTGTAAAATTTTGCTCTCATTTTTGTTGTGTTAACCGTTAAGTCAACCAAAATGAGATCAAATGGAGTATTCAAAATAAGTTACATCATAACAGCAAATTCTGATTTCAATTTGATCTCTAACTTTGCTCGGGTAGCGGTTCGTGCTGGGGCCCTCACGCAGAAGGACTGGGTTTAATTCTTCAAACAGCTCCAATACTACTACTAATACTGATAAACCAATACACTTCATAACTGCATTAAGAACTAACTTTCATAAAGACCTGACTTTAGAATTAACTTTCAAAAAAGTGCGAACTAAGTATAAAATTGGTGTAGAGGACATAATCCTTTTTTAATTTATTTTCTAAAAGTTCCCTTCAAGTTCCGCAAGAAGCTGCTTAGAATGCTCTTTAATTATGGTACCGGAACTTTCAAGTTCTTATAACGGCTTAAAAGTTAGGCTGCTTAGAATTATATAGACCACCTTCAACCAAGCTGCTTAAGCAAGAAATAGCCTTTTATCAGAACTTTTCGTTACTTGGGATATAATTTCGTGTCTTGTTTCTAAGTAGGATAACGGACAGCCTACAGTCCAAATACAACTACAAACACAACTAAAGCCGAGGGGGGCGACTCTATCTACGATGTAGGAAAAATTTCGCTTTGCTGTTATGAGATTTTGAAGATTTCCTGCAATAAGTTGGAGAGCGATGTAAGTAGATGGATATAGACGCAAGAGATGAAAAAAGATTTTTCGTAGATTGATTTGCTAGCGTGAGATATTCCGACCATCTTAAATTGAGATTAAGATGTGTCGCACCCCCTGAGTAAAGCTAAAGTGACTGAGGCTTTCAAATAAATTAGTTAAATAAACAACCAAGCTACAAATGCATTACAAAATTCTCAACATTCCCAACAATTAGTTTTTTGTCCAAATGTTTGTAGGTTATATTAGTTTTTGTTGCATTAACAATTTACAATTTGAAATAACGTTCAGCCCTTTTCGAATAATTGTCTTGATTATTTTTAGGAAAAAAAGAATGCAATGTTGCTTATGTAGACAAAATACCTTTACATCCTCATAGTTGTATTGGAACCTTAGCAGGTGTTACCAAACCCATATCAGTTCTCACACTTTTTCCGATTGCGACCCACATTTCTTAAGCGCCTGACTCACAAGTATTGAATACACATGTTTAATGCCAATACAGCCTAAGAATCTCAAAAATTCTGTTGAAATGCAAAAAAGTTTTCAAACTCTCTACAATTATTAAGTTATAGAAAAACTAACCCATAGGAAATCACGGTCACAGTAGCCAGAAAATTAATATTTACTATGGTTCTATAACTCGCTATCGAGTTAGTGGACATCGAATTATGGATAGTTTACTGTACATTGTTGTCTTAAGCCAAAAAAAAAAACATTGAAACGGCTTAAACATGCAAAAATAGGGTTGGGAGGAAATGCTACAACATGAATCTTTAGTGTGATAATTTATTGATATATAAATATAAGAATGAGAGCAAAATTTTACACTGTTGATTAAAACGGAAAAGTAATCCTGCTTTCAATGAAATCAATTTGATTACTGATTTTTAATTCATAATGTTTGACTGAATACGGGCCTGGCGTAAATGGTTAGCATCCAAGCTTCTCACGCTGAAAGACTTGAGCTCAAATGTCACCTCGGGCTGGTTACGAATGACCTAAAATGTGTTAAACAAAACAAATAAACAATAATCGTTAGTTCAACGACAGAGCTTAAATTAAATTTTAAACAAGACGTTAACAGCAGAACTTCAAGTTAAGTTGCTTTCATTTAAAATGTCTTGACTGCATAATGAAAGCACAATATGATATCAGACTAATGTCGTGACAAATGTAATCAAAATGAGTATTCATTATGATAGGAACTGCAAACTTTAATATCGATTTGCTTTCATTTTGTTAACCGACTTTGCTCGGGTACCTAACGCTCCAAGTTTCCGAAAAAAATTCCAGGCTATGGTATGTGATAATGCAACTCTTCTTTACCCAACTATTATGTTGCTCGTCTCGCCATGACCAACTTAGTCATCTCAGAGAGAAGCAGTAGCATGGAGCTGCATGCTGTACCATCATCAGCATTGTTGATGGTTACTCTCGCCCTGAGTTATTACATTCAATCAAAGTGTTAAGTGATAAACGCAGCTAGAACTATTACACAGCCGCAGACTATATGAACAAGTCTACAGGAGGCGAACCAGCCTCCCTAATAAAGAAAACTTAACTTAACTTATATGAACAAGTCAAATGCACACTCTTGTCTGTTCCTCCTAACTTTATGTTCTACTCTTTGTAAACTAGGTAAAGCTAGCCGATGTCTTTGAATGAATTTTAATACGATTATTTATGTACTTCAAAACATCTATTTAAATTTAAATTTATGTTAAAAGTATTTTGGGATTTTTGATGAAGCATCAAGTGCCCTGCTATGCCCGTCTTTACCATTTTCCCCCTATAAGCTGAAATTCCTCGAGTCTTCATCCCTAGTTAAATCTACTCCGACTATCTCTTAATACTACAATCAATGTCAATCATCATTTAACACACTGTAAAAAACCCCATTGACCAGCTTCCCATCGTTACTCACCCGAAAAGGAGATCAAATTCCCCAGCACCTGAGCCAACTGGTAGAACACGAAAAACAGCCCGAAGAACTTCACAATCAGATAGTCGGCTTTCACTTTCCGCTTCTTGATGATGCTGAACGCCTCCGCAATCACCGACAGATAAGTACACTTGGCGCACCACAGCGGTCCCCCGCCAAAACCCACGGCCAAACCAGCTGGAATCAGCGTGTAGAATCGTGGATAGAACTGCGCTGCTATGTAGGGCATATAGGCGATGAACGACACCACGATGGTCCACTTGCATCCAAGCCACCTATGGATAGCAACATTTTAATTAACCAGAACACAACTCTGCAGCAGGCGAGAAATATCCGATCACATTAGCCTTGAAATTTTGCACTTGACATACAACACATGAAACCATACAACAACATTCGAAACATGGAAACAAATCGAACAAAATGTTGCATTCACTTTCAATATATTACGCGTCCCAACCAGTTTTTGCTAACTGATGCATCAACCCCATCGCCTTAATTAATCGTACACACGCTGAACCAACCTGATCACCATAACCGGTAGAAAGATGTTTGACAAAATCAACGATCCGTATATAGACGCTAGCGTGAACGCCCCCAAAGAGCCATCGCTGTGAACCGAGCTTTGCAGATTGGACGTCCCGTGGAATGCGGTGAAATGAATCATAAACGCAAAGCCCAAAATCGCAATGTTCTTGATAATCCGGTAGCCTTCCTGTGGTCCGAACTCCTGCTCTACCGCACCATTCTCCTTCCCGGTGATCTCCGCCGTCACAGCAGATCCGTTACTTTCGCCTTCGACCGTATTTCCGTTGTCCATCTTTCTTTCTTGCGGCCTACTGGGTTAATCAAACACTTCCTTCCCAGTCAACGTCGCGATCCGAACTAAGTAGGCGAAGCCGAAATATACAAAATACTAGGGTGTCGCTCCAAGTTAGTTAGCTCATTCCGGAAACTGGTTTTGATCTCAGTTCGAAACTTGTCTACTAGATGGGTTCAGACTAACAGGAGAGTGCTAGTGAACTGAGAACAGCGACTAGTAAACGGAGCGCGTCTATACAACACTATAATGGCTATTGCAATAAAGTTTTGTTTGACTGATTATGGACCATGGCCGCGATAAACGACAGCGGTTCTCTGTTGGTGCTATCCGTGGGGATCATTCAGTAAGACAGCGCGCGGGTGCGATATGTTTAAGCAAGACAGACGAAGAGGTGTGTTTGAGATTTGTGCTGAGAAGCGAAAATGTGCTAATTCAGCATGATAGTTGGATAACCCTCGGCTGAACTTTGATCACGATTTTTTGCTTGTCGATTTGGTTTCAAGAACTGGAATCAGTTGAACTGCATTTGTGTTCTAGGTTGCTGATAGAACTGGTTTACAATTCACTGACAGTTGTGTATTTATCTATTAATCATGAATGATCGCAATTCAATCAATTATGTATATGGCTTATTTTACGCCCACATTCAGTCATTCAGAGTTTTGCGACGGGTTTAGAAACAACTCCCCATTCAGTATAGAATCAAAATAGAAACGGCATTGGGTATATTGGGAAAAAAATTTCAAAAAGTTCTGGCCACACCCTTCGATTGCACAGTGGTCCAAAAATGGGAATTTAACAACGCAAAAGTTCTTGTGAATGATTTAATTTTCACAATTGGTGTCTTTGATGAAATTTTTGATTCCTTAAAAGCTCTTTTTATTTTAGTCGTTTGAAAAATTGGGGTGTTTCGCAGATTAATACATATTCAAAAACTAACTTTCTTATTTTTGAAAACACATGTTCATCAGCAAAGTTAGTTTCAAGCAGCTTTGTTGAAGATAATTTTTTTCGATCGCTTAATGATCTCATTTTAGGTCAACTTTCCAGACGTGGCATAGGGTGTACCTGAAAAATTATCAGAATTTACTTGGAGTTTTCTTTAGAGTTCCCTCGAGTGAATTTTCTTTGGAATTTTTGTCAGAATTATAGTCAGAATTTTTGTTTTTTTTTTTTTAATTCTGTGATTGTGGATCAAAATTCTCGCCTAGGAATGCTGTCAACTAATTTATGTTCTCCTTCGATCCTCTATGGAGCAATCTTTAAATTTAGATTCCTTTGCAATTCTTATAAAAATTTCCTTATAACTCCTTTGGAGTTCTGGGCAGAATTGAATTGGAATTGTGGTTAGAATTCCTTAGGAATTCACATAAAAGTGTCTTTGGAATGATCCTCTGTATTCCAATTTAAATCTCCTCCGAAATTTCTTTGCAGTTCTTGTTGACCTTTTCGTACAATCCTAATTGAATTCTCTCCAGTTGAAGCATATAATTGTATTCATACGCACAAAGTAATAAAACAAATGACATGAGCTTCAAATGAAATTGTAGATTTCTTACATCCTCTGTATGTATTGTATTGAACTGACTGTACAAACAAGTTTTTTTTTCAGATTTAATAATTTCGTATAAAATCCTTTAATTTGTTGTTGTTGTTGAGGATTTTAAAACAGTTTCATTGAATATAGGACAATACCGAGAAATTTCAAGAAGCTCTAAAAATTGAAGATATTCTAGGGAACATCAGAAAGTTAAGAAAAATGTCAGAAACTTCATAGAAGCTTCAATTAATTCATGGAAATGCAGAAAACGTCAAGAAGTTAAGAGATCTTCAGGGTAGGTTCACTAATTTCAGGGCAATTCCAGAAACATCATTTGAAGAATAACCAGAACTTCGGGAAAGATTATAGAACTTCAGAATGATCTCCAAATTTTATAGGAACTTTAAAGAAGTCTCAAAGAGGATTTTGGGGACGCTTCGTGAACAGACTGCGGGATGGTAAGGGTAGATCTGAGAACTTCAATACAATTTCGGGCACTTCAAGAACACCAAGCTTTTAATAAATTCTGAGAACATTCAGGAAGTCGAGAGAACTTCAGAGAAGTCCATAGTGGAGACTTTAAAGAATTTTCAAGAACCTCTGACAAGCTACGCAGGTTCAGACTTTTGGGGAAGCTTACATCTTTAATGTTAGTTTCGTTAAATTCAGAACAGTTCCATGAATTGCAGGAATATTTCGAGAAACTTTAAGAGTTCCGTTAATTTTAGGAATGTTCAAAAACACCTGAAAGCTTTATAATTTCCGATGAAAGTCTTCAGGTGATGAACATCATAAGAACTGCGTGAACAACCAGGAAGTTTCAAGAGCACCAGACAATCTTGGTGCAGTTCAATTAACTGAACTAGAAACTCAGGGAATTTCCAAAAACTTCAGTAAAATTTTAAGGTCTTCAGGAAAGTTCAGAAAACTTCATAAATTTTTTTCGTAGATTCTTAGAGATGCTTTGAATGCGTGATGCGTGATCAGAGGTCTTTTTTTTTAGGGGAGTTGAACCACTGCGTCCATTATTTGAACTTTTGTGGTACCCCTGTTTACTGTTCGTATCATGCAAGCTGACCACCATTTAATGAGTGTACAGCTAATTGCTTCGATGAAACCAACTACCTTTCCAGGATTAGCAGACCAAATTCCACTAGGTTGAAAGATAACACTACCAAGAAATTTAGATCTACGCCTGTGTAATGCACCGCAACTGCAGAGCAGATGTTCCGAGGTTTCACGTTATATGCTACAGAAACGGCAGATATCGTTTGAACCCGACCAATGTTCTTCAAATGATATCTACTCGGACAGTGCCCAGTTATTAGGTCAGTGTATATACTAAGAGCCCGTTTATTGAGCTCCAAGAGTGATAGCGTCAAACTTTCCTCTAACTTCGATGACTATATCATCCGCAAAGCCCACAACTTCGAAACCTTTCGCCTCTAGGCTTCTTAGAAGATCATCTACAACTAAAGACCACATTAGTGGTGAGAGGACTCCTCCTTGAGGACAGCATTTCGTTGTCTTTACTGTTATAGATGGGCTTTCCAGCCCAGAAGTGACTTTTCTTTTTGCAAGCATAGTATGAATCCAGTTGACGATGTGCGTGTCGGAGTTCATTTTCTTCATAGCGTTAATCATAGAAGAATAGGATGCGTTGTTAAAAGCTCCTTCAATATCCAAGAAAGAACAAAGTGCGATTTCTTTAACTGAAAGTGATTTTTCGATTTTAGTTACCAAAGTATGGAGAGCAGTAACTGTTCATTTTCCAGATTGATACGCAAACTGAAAATTAGATATTGGATGCGTTAACATGTATGTTGAATTAATGAAGTCATCCAATACCTTTTCCATAGTCTTTAGTAAAACTGATGAGAGACTAATGGGCCTAAATGCTTTTGGCTGCGTTTTATCACGCCTCCCGTTTTTCGGTATAAATATAACTTTTACCAATCTCCATTTTGATGGAATGTAGTTTAATATTAAACTCGCCTTATAAATCTTAGTTAGAGACGGAATCAGCATTGCTTCACCGTTTTGAAGTAGTGTCGGTAATATGCCATCCACACCCGCAGATTTAAAAGGCTGGAAGTATCTGGGTCAATAGTCAGTCCTCCAAATGGTTGATCGCTTCCTTGACCGGTACGCTGGGAAATGGAGCTGTGACGTCGAAAGATACCATAATCTCGTCCTCGTTGATCTCTCCTGAAGATTGTAGTTGCTGGGCGAACTACTGGGTGTCACTAACTGCTTTACTCTGGAACTGATTCGGCATACTCTAGAACTCTGTGATTAGCCACTTCGCTAGTTTGTGGGTGAGGGAACCAACTGCAGACACGATCTCTCGCATTTCATTCCCCGGTTTGTGGACTTTGGGGAGACCTTTGATCCTGGGTAGAATGGGATTGGATTTCCGTAAACGACCTGCTCCATCTCCTAATATTGATTTGCACTCCTTCAGTGCTTTATCCACGCGTTTCACTTTGTTCTGTAAGGGGTCTACACGAAGCTGTCTATACGGTCCGTTGTTAATCTTCGTTGTCATCTGACAGCGTTGCCCTTGTCTGCTTTCACATAGTATACTGCTTTAATTTTCAGCTTTTTTACAATCCGAATTTCCTTTTCGTTGGCGCGACTTTGTTCTTGTCCGTCCTTGGTTATGTTCGATGTGATAGCATAGAGGTAACTCTAAGACTAGAAGGTCCCGAAGAAACGTGCTTTAACTTTTTGGCTCAGCTCTGGTGCTCTCTTCGGTCCCAAGCTAATCGATGCACCCCTCGAAACATAGGAAAATCCACGAACCCCTCATTTGATCTGTCAAACTTTCAAAGCGAATCAAAACAAACATAGTGTAATACTAGAATTTTGACTGGAATGGGGTACTTTAATCGATTTGCTTGGGACCAATAGGCTGGTCAAGTAGTGAGCCAATTTAAAATCGTTAGTTTCCTGACCGTATAATGTGATGATGTTGGAAGTGTCTTGGTAATCGCTGTCTCTACGTCAATGATGATCTGCTCCACGTCTGGCTTGGTTGTAACCGCGTATCTTAGCCCCTTGTTGAGGCGTGTCAATTGTTCTTCCGTGAATGCGGTCGTCGATCGGTTTACCATCAACCCATCAATGGAGTGAACCCTGGGCGTCGTGGTGATGGTGGATGGGATCTGCTCACCCGTTCGGTGTGTCGTCCGTCTCCGTTGAGACTCGTGTCGTAGTCTGTTTAGCTTCCTATGGTGCAGCTTCCGATTCCTATCCGATTCGCACTCCATAACTACCTTGGCCCTAGACAAAAACTCCTGTAATTTAATTGGATACTCTTTGGCCAATTTGAGGTGTAGAGAATAACATTCCAAAATCTTCATGTCCAGTTTGTTATATAGTCGTCTGATGCTATCCTTGATGAACTCTGCTTCCATACTCTTTACTACGCTGGGTGGAGTGGGTGTCCGTACCTTGGCTTATAGGTATAACCCAAGGGGTAAGTCACTCAGCACATTGTGCCGAAATTATATTCGGCACAGCT